AGAAGAGGTGAAAGATGGGCTTCTCATGATAGCTCATGATGAAAAGAACAGTAGTGACGAGACGAGTTGGTATCTCGACACTGGTGCTAGTAACCACATGTGTGGGCATATACATTTTTTCAAAGAAATACGGGTTGTTGAGGATGGGCATGTTTCATTTGGTGATGCATCAAAGATTCAAGTAAAAGGTCAAGGTACAATCTCTTACATGCAAGAACATGGCACAAAAGGCCTAATTGAAAATTTATATTTTGTACCTGATCTTAAAAGTAGCATACTTAGTATGGGGAAACTCATGGAGAAAGGATATTCAGTGTTCATGAAAGATCAAGTTCTACAATTCAAAGATAAGAAGGGGTGGTTAGTTACACAAATTAATATGGCGAAGAATAGAATGTACAAGATCAACTTGGTTTATGTACGAGAAAAATGCTTGCAAGTTGATGTAGAAGACAAGGCATCTCTTTGGCATTTTCGATTTGGTCATTTGTATTATGGAGGCCTTCAAAAATTGTTGAAGAATAAAATGGTGTATAGACTACCAGAAGTAGATTACACCAACAAGATTTGTGAAGATTGTATATTTGGGAAACATGCAAGAAGTTCATTTCAGAAAAAGGCAGAATATCGAGCATCACATACTCTTGAATTAGTACACACCGACATTTGTGGGCCAATCACTCCTGAATCTTTCAGTGGTAAAAGGTATTTTATTACTTTTATCGACGATTATTCCAGAAAAACTTGGGTTTATTTTTTGAAGGAAAAATCCGAGACTTTCAATGTATTTAAGAAATTTAAAGCCATGGTGGAGAAGACAACCGGAAAGTTTATTATAGCATTGTGATCTGATAGAGGTGGTGAATACAACTCAACGGAGTTTACAAGTTTCTGTGAGCAACAAGGAGTAAGAAAAATCCTAACCACACCATATTCACCCCAACAAAATGGTGTGGCCGAGAGAAAGAATCGGACCATTCTTGAAATGGTTTGGTCAATGTTGAAGAGTAAAGAAATGCCTAAAGAATTCTGGGCGGAAGCAGTGCAATGTTCAATTTACATACAAAATAGATGCCCACATATGAAGTTAGAAGATAAAACTCCGCAAGAGCCATGGAGTGGTAAAAAACCAACTGTCTCACATCTTAAAATATTCGGTAGTGTAGCCTATGCACATGTGTCGGATCAACAAAGAACAAAACTAGAAGATAAAAGCAAGAAGTATGTGTTTATTGGGTATGATGAGCAAACTAAGGGTTACAAACTACTTGATCCAATAAACAAGAAGGTGTTGGTAAGTCGAGATGTTCGGGTGAATGAAGCAAGCAAATGGGTTTGGAACAATTCATCGGAAGAACAAATGGAAAATGGAGAGTCACCAACTATTTCACTATCAAATTTTCATACATGTTCTCAGGTACCTAGAAATCCTCAAACATCTGATGATGAGCAAGAACCAAGATAATCAAAAATGTGAATCCTACAAGAGTTGTATGATTCTACAAGAGAAGCACACATTATTTGTCTTCTTGCTGATGGTGAAAATATAAGTTTTGAAGAAGCGGTGAAGAATGAAAAGGGAAAGAAGCTATGGATGAGGAGATCAAGTCCATCGAACAAAACAAGACATGGGAACTTGTAGAATTACCTAAAGGAAGTCGACCTATTAGAGTAAAGTGGGTATTCAAGAAAAAGATGAATGCTCAAGGTGAGATAGATCGATACAAGGCCCGACTTGTTGAAAAGGGCTATAAACAAAAGGCGGGGATATACTATGGAGATAATTCGACTTCTTATCTCTTACGCGACACAGTTTGAATGGCCAATATATCACATGGATGTGAAGTCGACATTTTTGAATAGAGTGATAGAAGAGGAAATTTATCTTGAACAACCCTCTGGTTACAGGAAGACTGGAGAGGAACAAAAAGTATTGAAGTTAAGAAAGGCACTTTATGGGTTAAAGCAAGCACCTCGAGCTTCGACATTTATTTCAAGAAAAATGGGTTCACTCAATGCCCATATGAGCATGCACTATATGTGAAGAAGAAAGGGGGTAACTTGTTATTTGTAGCACTTTATGTTGATAATTTTCTTTTCATGGGGAATAATGGCAAGATGATTGAAAATTTTAAATGTGAGATGGAACAAGAATTAGAAATGACAGATTTGGGTTTAATGAAGTATTTTCTTGGTCTAGAAGTTAGACAAGAAAAATCAGGAATTTTTGTGTCATAAGAAGCATACTCAGAAGGCATCTTAAAGAAGAACAAGATGGAAAATTGTAATCCAGTAACAACGCCAATGGAATTAGGTGCCAAACTCTCAAAGTTTAATGGTGGAGATCGAGTCGACGCAACAAAATATCGAAGTTTGGTGGGAAGTTTGCGTTATCTCACAAGCACTCGGCCAAATATTTCTTATAGTGTTGGAGTGGTAAGTCGGTTCATGGAAGAGCCGACCTACACACATTGGAAGGCATTGAAGAGAATTCTTTGGTATGTCCGAGGAACAGAATCACTCAGATTATTTTACTCGAAGAAGGATGAATATAAATTGGTGGGTTACTCCAACAGTGGTTGGTGTCGAGACATAGATGATCGAAAGAGTACATCGGGGTGCGTATTTTTTATGGGAGATACGACATTCACATGGCTATCAAAGAAACAACCGATAGTGACACTTTTGACATGTGAGGCAAAATATGTGGCAGCAGCATTGTGTGTGTGTCATGCAGTTTGGCTAAGGAATTTACTCTATGAAATGAATCTCCAATAAACAGAGGCTACCGAGATTCATTTTGATAACAAATCTGCATTTGAGTTAATAAAGAATCTTGTACATCATGAAAGAAGCAAGCATATTGATGTTAAATTTCATTTCATCCGTAAACATGTGAAGGAAGGAAGTATGAGAATGATTCATGTTGCAAGTCATGATCAAGTAGTAGATATATTCACAAAGCCATTACCCTCAATATTGTTCGAGAAATGTAAAATGGCAATTGGCATGAAGGATGGAAGGGATTTTGAATTTAAAGGAGGAATTTGTTAATAAATTCAAAATCTTTAATCATATTATTTGTATGGTTGTGTCTTTTCATTTGTGTGGATGTGGTTTATTTTCTTAATTAAATGTAGTTAATTGTAAGTGAAAGGATGTGTGTGAAGCTGTGATGTTTCATTTGAAAGTGAAAGGGTGTGTGTGAAGTGATGTTTCATTTAAATAAAATAGTTGTAATGTGAGTATGAGATAATTAATAGAAGAAAAAGTTTGTGTGTTTCTACTTCTTCCATTTTTCTTCTTCTTCTTCTTCCAATTTTTTTCTGTTTCTTTCACAATATTCACCTAATGCAACTGATGCACGTGAATCTCTACAACCGCACACGCCCACCCCCCCGGCCTTGGCCAGGACCTGATCTGTAAGCAGTTTCAACTCCACAAAAATCATGGCCCAAACCCTCCTATGTGTTACTCGCGTAACCCAAATGAACACACGTGCCCTACCTTTGTGTGGCCTTTGAGCTGTAGCTTCCCTTGTGCCGCCCCCACTTGCATTTGATCCACACACAATATGTGGGCTTCATTAAAAGTTTCATGCATGATCTTCCTTCTGGTTTAGACAGATCGACCTAGAATTTGAGTTATCGCCAAAACCTTTAGCTGCTAAAGTCTCCATGCAATCTTATTGTGCATGCTCTGACCCAGCATCAATTTGCTCCCATGAACACTTGCTTTCTTGCGTTAAGAACAAGCAAAACCTTTTTGTGACGTAGGTTCCAAAAAAAAAAAAAAAGATAGACTTTCGTTGAACTCTTTAAGTCACTACTAGACTGAAACCAAAAAAAAAAAAAAAAAAAGATAGACTTTCGTTGAACTCTTTAAGTCACTACTAGACTGAAACCAAGGCTCCGATACTAATTGTTGTGCAAACAATCACAACATAAATAAAAAATTAGAAATCACACAATATAATCAATCAAAAAGAAGATAGCGATTTACGTGGTTCAACGAAGATGCTACATTCATAGGAAGGGATGATGATTTCACTATATTGGATAAACAAATATGAATTACAAGACTCTCAAGCTCTCTCATTTACTCTCAACAATAGCCCTTATAGCTCTATTTGTTGATTTGAGATATAGTAAATTAGTAAACAGCTTCCTAATCTAACTCCTAATCAAAACAACAACAAAAGGAGATAATAAATGCTCAATTTCATTGAATATAATAGCTTTTCAAAATAAATTTGATTTGATTAAATCTGATTTGATTTGCATTTAATACCGAATTGAACAATATCTTCTTAGAATGAATAATTAAGAGTTATATATAATTTGAAGGGTTATAACTCAAAACATCATGTTGTACTCATGAATTTATTAACAATAGATAATGCGTGTATGTAATATACATAGACATATAAACAAAACATGGGTCAATTCCCTTCAGAAATGCAACTATAAATCATATTATCATTAACTCATTATTGCATCTAAAGATTTTCATTAATCCTATGAATGTATAATCATTTTATTTTCTGGAATGAGAAGACAAGTTACTTGATCTTATAACTCCATATTCTATTTCTATTTTCTTATTTTATGGTAACAATTCCATCTCTTAATTTCCAGAAAAATAGTTATAAATTGATATCATATTTCAATCTTATTTCAACTTGTAAGTAAAATCTAGGAAAACTACAACCATCTCAAATTTAATAAACCAAATTCCTTCACCGTGCATTGCTTTAGAACTTATTTAATTCATTGCAAAAGAAAGGAAAATAAAATAGTGTAGGTAAACTTACTGTGTCTTTTATTTGAAGAAACATCCTATAAGTTAACTTCAGTTAACATTTTTTCAAATATACCTGCTTTATATAAACTTTTCCCCTAACATTTCTTCATAAAATTGTTGCAAAAAGAAATACTGTTAATATTTTGGCTTTTATGTTGCAGGAATTTGATTTTATTTTACATAGAAACCAACAGCCCTTAAAGAAAGAGATTCCAAAGATTTCTTTAGCATGTTAAAACTTAACAAGTAAGATCTAAATATAAACGCAAGTTGTGATACTTTACAAAAGAAAAGAATTTCCTACTTTTTTTTTTTCATTACATAGAAGGCATCTTTGGCCGCCCGAATTTTCGCCCCACATTTTTGTCAAAAGGTGATCATCCATCTCTGTGCCTCCGGTTCTTCTACCTTGAGATCTCACATTTTGGAGACTGTTCAAGCTGTTCTATTTCCCAGCTCATCTTTGAAACAACACTTTCATGCCGAGGAATGTATTCCTGCAAAAAAACCAAAAACACTTGTTAGAGTGATATTGCTTTGAGCTCCAAAGAAGTCAGGATTTGAATTTCTGGAAAAAAAAAAAAATTTAACGAGGCAGACTTAGTAATTTTCCATAGCACTTCAAACCATATAAAACAACAAACATGTCATTCGAAAAAAAAAAAAAAAAAAAAAAAAAATGCTCCCTAGGGGAAAAAAAAGAAAAAGATGCTCGCTAGGGGGAAAAATGCTCGATCTTCTTAAAAAATTCTTGTTATTTCGTTAATATAGCTTGTGTAATAAGTTAAGTCGAGCTTGAACACAGCTTTTAAATACATCTAAATGAGTTACAAAAAGAAAAGCAAACTCAATTTCGTAACAAACAGGGAGATGAAACTATATAAATAGATAATACCAAGTTTATTTAGATCACCCTGAAAAAAGAATATTCATAATCTTATATAGTTTATTATTATAGAAGCAGACATACACTTCATTGGCCATATAAAATATAATAATTCTAGTTTTAGCAAAAAGGCCTCTAGAAAAGAAAATACCTCAAGTTTCTTCACCAGTTCCTTGGCTGTTCGAGCAGAGACTATGATATGGCGAGCACTTGGATTGATGAATCCTTCTTCCACAGCTTTGTCAATGAAAGATAGCAATGAGTTGTAATAACCGTCTACATTCAGCAACCCAACCTGGAATTCTCAGACTGTTTAAGTTGAAGATGAAGAAAAATAGCCTTGCCAACATTTCTTGTTGAGGAAAATATTAATCCACATAGAAATTAGTGCAATTGGTCTATAGTTATGTAATGGTATACAAGAACAAATCTTTCATGGCTACAAAGATATACAAGGTATACGTAGTGCATGAAACTCCCATTAATGTAGGATTTGGGCAATCGTATCTCCAATTGCAAAGAGACAATTTCATGATTTGTACCCAGGACCATCAGATCACAATAGGGGCTACAAACTAATATCTAGGATCTGCTCTCTATCTACAAAGACATGCTTATCATATGCTACTTAAAAGACAAGTAAATTTTCTTCATTGACCAAAATTTCACTTCCAAACACACTAATATTAAATTGTCGAGTTTATTCAAGAAGAAAGTAGGTAACACAATATTTGAATGTAAGACCAAGATTTATATTGCAATCAAGTAAGCATATAGAAAGCAAAAGGCTTCCTGACAAAAGATAGGAAAAAGCAGGCAATAGTTATTACCGGCTTGTCATGGATGCCTAACTGAGCCCAAGTTATCACTTCAAGCAGTTCTTCAAGAGTTCCATATCCACCTTCATCGAAGTTCTGAATTAGTTCAAAATGCTGATGAACTTCTTCATCAAAATAAACTTTTGAGAAGTGATACATTTGTACTGATTTGAGTAAAATCAAAGAAGTACAAATATTTCAATATGCCTTAATTTTGAGTACACAAATATTCTCAAAATATATGAAACATAATCAACAGAGAAATTTCAATCCCTGATTCAGGTCAACTATAAGCGAGGTTTAGGCCAGACAGAGGAGGAGACGATACAAGACCAATAGATGTTGAGGGTTTTTTTTTTTCAAAAGATTAACTTCACTCCTAAAAACGTAATTTCAATTATATGTTTTTCCTTGATATTTTTCACATCAAGATAAAAATTATTTTATTTTATGATTTTTCTTATATTTTAGGTGTTCTAAAGAAAAATGATGTTGATTTTTAATAATAAAATTTAATGATATTTTTTATCACGGTAAGTTACTAATCATCATTTCATTTAACTTTATAATAGAATAATGACTTCATAAATAGCTCCTAATGCCACTAGAGAGTTTTTTTCCCTAATGCAACTAGAGATTTTTTTTTTCCTAATGCAAAAAGAGATGTTTTAATCGATAATACTATTATTAAATGTTTAAATTACATATTATATATTAAAAATTTATAAAAGAAAAAATCATGTCAATAGCATGTCTACTCCTATACGTTCTAGGGTTATGTCATTGCCGTGTCTCCTGCTCAATAGAACAGGTAAGACTAATTTATTTCTACAAGGAAAGCAAATATTCATCCAGTAATAGGCGATGTTGAAGAGCATGTAAACGTTAAATTCTGACAATAACGCCTATTTGAACTTGGGACAAATAGTCAAATAGGAGGCATAGCACAGAGTAAAACCCATCTTCATCAAAATTGCTCTGCATATGGCAGGATTATGAAAAAGGTAGATTTAAAGAGGCTTTTCGCTGAAAAATGAAAGTAAGCACAACCCTAATTTTCAATGCCATTTGTTGGTAGTTCCAAGGGCTGTTTTAAGCCGTAGATGTAAGGAGATTATATCTTTTCCATGAATGTAAACTTTTCTTGGTTTCAGTGCTCTAAAGTTTCACTGTTATAGGAAAAGATAGATGTTATAGCCTCATCCCATTTTTTACTTGATCCTATATAAGAGTTCCAGGTTTCTTTCTAATAAAGGATAGTTTTACCAGCTCTTTCATTCGTAGATAAGTTGGGGAAGAAAAACTCTTTTAAGGAAATAAGTCAGAATTTTTATGAAACGGTTATCTGAAGCTTAAAGATGGTTTATTTATGAAATGGAGCCACCATACGAATTAAACTTCATGGAGCATTTAAGATGTTTGATTAGTGCCAAAGCAATTTATTTGGGAAGGGTGATTGGCTAGGCACAAACTTGTTATATGTTAGATTAGAACTCAGATCTTTGCAAAAACTTTCCAATATTTTACCAACTAAGCAAACTCGTAGAACTGACACCAGTTTCTCCATAATTTCATATGCATATGAAATCATAGCTGTAAAGTAATAATTTAATAAAAATATTTCACATAAGTCAAGAAATTTTTTTTGAAAAATTAAAGAAGAGAAAAGAGGAATCAAATGTACCTTAGAGTTAGTATATACTTGATGTTATCTATCCCTAGTAGAGCCCCAAGGAGTAAAGATGGGAATAGAATGTCTAGAAAACTAGAAGAAACGAGGTAAAAGTAAAAAATAAATTAAATCAAGCAACGTTGTGGATTTTAGTTTCAACATTTTTTTTTCTAATTGTTCACACAGCAGATTAATGAATGCTCCAAGTAGATAGTTTCCAAGAAAAATAAAAATCTATAAGTAGACATTATACCGTCCTTTTACAATATTTTTACTCTGCCTTAGGATTTTTGTGATACAGTTCTTTGTTTTACACTTACCAGGTAATGCAATAAAGGCATCAGACTGCCGAGCCATTTCTGCCTTTCTCTGGTGCATATCTGCAACAGCTTTCACCTCTCCTACAGTTTCACCAGTTATCTGCAAAATGGAAGACCAACATAAGCAAAATTCAATAATAATAATAATAATAATAATAATAATAATAATAAGCATCATTGAGGAATAGAGAGAGAAAAAGGTAAGCTCCTTAAGGCTGCAACTTTCCTCCATTGGAATATTATTTTTAATCATTTAACAGAGTAGCAATTATGGGTCTTGCAGATGAAGCCAAGAATATAAATTTAATATTCAGCTCCCGATTAGAGGTTTAAAAAAATATATATTTCAATGAAAATATCTCAAAAAAAATAAAAAAATAAAAATATTCAAGCTTCACTTAAAGACGCACTTAACTCATAAAAAGTCCTCATTTGGTTGCATGAATTTAGAGAATGTTTTGAAAAACATGTGGTGTTTAGTAGATTCATTATTTGGTTGAACGAAAAATTCAGTTTTCAATCAACTTTAAAACCCCTCAAAAATTATAATTTCATTTTTATGCTAAAAATAAGGGAAAAGATCAACACCGTCCAAAACATATTTTCTGTCTACAAGCATTCAAATAATACCTTAAGAGAAGCAAAAAAAAATCACTATTCAAAAATAAACTAAATACAATAAAAATTAACTTCAACCTTCTTTCCATCAGCATAAAAAATCAAATATCACAAAAAAGACTCAAATCAGAGAGGAAATCAATCAACAAAATAAACAAAAAAGAGGGCTAACAGAGAGACGGCCAAAATGAGGCAGTTCAAATCCTTTCAAATCAAACTAGACATACCTCTCGAAGCATAAGTGTCTTGGGAATAACTCTGCATTGAATGAACAAACATAAGAATAAGCTTGTAAACAGTAAATAACAAATACAAAGAACTCTTTCCTTTGAGAGCTAAGCTATGTGACACCACCAGGCACAGAAATTAATACAGCAGACAAGGTGGAAAGAAGAAAAGATGAAAACTTTACCCAATGACATGCCTCCCTCCATCATAAACTGCTTGGGAAACCAATCCCATCAATCCAACACTCCCACCTCCATAGACTAGATCAATGCTCCTGCAAACCTAGAAATATCCTAATCTTTCTTAGCTCAAATAGAATTTATGTAAAATTAAAAAAAATTAATCATGTGCATGAAAGCATCATTAATGCGTAACCAATGCATATGATGAATGCAAGAATGACAATTTATTCAATAACATGCCAGCGATTCTACATAATCAAAATCCAATGAAAAGAAAACATTCCATAAAAGATAAAAAGAACATTGTAGCTCCAAAGCTGATATTTTGTGCAAGCTAAAGTGTAAACCCAAGTTAAAAGAAACATGTAGAGAAGAAGCAAACCAGCTCCTTGCCAAGCTCAATGGCAGCATCCTGGTAGCTTATCTTCTTCCCCTGGCTACTGCCGCAGAAGACACAAATCCTCTTAAACTTGGATTCTTTCCCTCTCTCCATAGCTCTCTATCTGCTTCCACAGAGTCTACCCTGCCTATCTTATACTGCGAGGAAAGACAAACATCCACTAAAACCTCCAGCCACTTTCTAGTGCGCACCCCACACCTAGATATACATGGAAAGCACACGAATGGGAGGCTTCGCACGCGCAGTGTTGGCACGTGCCAAAAAAATTATATGCGGCAAAGTTTTTAATTTGTTTTTTTTTTACGCTGATGGTGAAGAAAACATTGCACGTGCAAAAAACATTACAAGTGCCTAAGTATTTTTTTTAGCTGCTAGTGCCGAAAACATTGCAAGTGGGAGATGGAGGTGGAGGGGAAGTATAGCAACTGTTGTAATTCACCAAAAAAAAAAAAAAAAACAAAAAAAAAAAAAAAAAAAAGCAACTGCTGTAGAAGATATTTTTATTGTTATTCAAAACTTAGCATAATATTTTGATAAATTTATGGATGTCATTATATAAATTTGTACAGACATTAGAAAATCATTTATTTTTGTTATCTCAGTATCTTATAAATTTATAGGAGGTGATAATGCTCACATGATCATAGGCCATTTGGATTAAAATACATGCTTTGCACATTTTTTATGGAAGCTATTTAATCAATATAACTTAATCAACCGTATTCAAGCTTTCTCTCTGATTACTAAGGGTCTCCTAACTCCCCGTGGCTTTCTGAAATTCCTTTAGTTCTCTGTTACTGCCATATTTAGGCCCGTTTAATGAGTTAAAGTTTAGTTGGATCTTCTATTCAATGTACTCCTGAGAATCAAATCCTCGACCAAATGAGAGATTTGAAGATTTCTGGGAAATATTCTCTCCCTGCACAAGTGTGACATCTACTTTTAACAAATTATTTCTTTTTAATACTCGTTGTAAATTTAACTATTAGATTGATCGTGCAATTGATTTTATTCAACTTGAATTTTAACAAGTAAACGGATTTTTAGGGGTGTCAATATTTGACACAACCCGAAAATCCGACCTAAAAATTTCGGGTTTGGGTCAACCCAACCCCAGGTTAGGGATTTCAACCCGTTTGTAAAATCGGGTTGGATTCGGGTTGACCCGGAAACCCGAAATCAACCCGGTTTGACCTGTTTTTACTTGATTTAGGTGGATTTTAGAAGATTATTATGAAATAATTAAATGATTTTTCAAAAAATAAATCAAATTAAATAAAAAATTTTTAGTAAAATATACTCGTAACGGGTCGGGTTAAAAAGTACCGGGTCAAATTCGGATTCGACCCGAACCCGATCTGAAACTCGATTTTGACAGCTCTACAGATTTTAACTTATTATGTGATTTTCTTGACTCAAAAAGTCAATTTTCTATTTCTAGTAGAAGGTCATTGTAGTTTCATTTGAATTGATTTTCTTCTTTTTTAATTTTATTGAAAGTACCAAATAATCTTTAAGAAGACTATAATTTTGTTTGAGATAACTTTTTTATTGCGTTAGCAACTTTTTAGTACAAAATTTTTTATACAAGAAAATTACTTTAGAAAGCAGTACAAAAGCTATCCCAAACGAATCCTAAAAATCTGTGAGCTATGAAATAGTGTACTTGTTGCATATTTTTTGCATATCATAATAAATTTGCATTAGGAACCGTAGACTTATAAAGAAGATGAGCATCTTACCTATCTAATATCAATTGTTTCAAGAATTGCAATTTTTTAGTGCTTAAAAAAAGATTAATAGTAAACAATTGTCTGACATCAGAAATCTAACAATACTCATGTTTCTAAGAGCAATTTTTGTTATCATAAGCATTTCAAAGTAATTAACTTGATTTTAGAACCGAGTTTCTAAAATGTTTAATACTTTGCTAATTTATCAGCTACTTTTGCAGTTATTTTTATTTCTTGATCACTAATAATTTAAAACATTGTTATGGTTATAATCATTGCTCTGAGTGTGTACTCAAATATATTCTTTCACATATCTATTACATAGCCAGGTTAGTCACAATAAGAGAAATCCAACTTTATGGGCCCACAAGAGAACATGCCCAGGAGCCCTAAAATCTATTTCTTAGAGACATTCATTGGGGAGTCGCTTCTAACATGGACAATCTGGGTTCTTCGCGAGACATCTTGTTCACCCTCCCACTAATGGAGAACTTGCTAGCACAATAAAGCTTTTTTGACCTACAACGCAAGTTTATTCGCTGCTTTGTTAGAAGATGAACAAATGCTCCAACATATGCCGTCAATGATTTTAGGGTGCCAACCACCATCGATTTCCTTTGTTCAAGTATTGACTATATACTTGCCTCCATTAGATCACCTATACATACTCGGCATTACTTAGCTCACCACGGAGCACATGGGTTAAGCTTAAGAAAGGACAAATCTCACTAAAATTAGCTAGAAGGTTATGCATTATGTATAAGAGTGTCGATAGCATCATTTAGTCCCTATTTATTTTTTTATTCATTTTACTCATGTAACATTTTTTGCAACTCTTATATCCATATAAATAAGGGATGACGTAGAATGTTTTGGATCTATTGACATTCTTTGTGCTTAGTGGTACTGATAGGATAGATAATTGATCGAGTGTACTCTCTCTCTCTCTCTCTCACACACACACACACACACACACACACACACGCGCACACACACACTCTCACTCTTCTTTACATTCTCACATGTTTTTTGATTGTTCTCATAGAGCTCACTTGTAAATTTAACAACCTAGAATATGTGATGAGTGTGGATTAATACTAGTGACTAGAGGATAGACCAAAATCAATGAGCAAAATAACACCGAACCTTTAGTGAATATGGACAAATCCAACTACATCTCTCAATCTGAACCATAAAAATGGAATAAAGACCAACAAAAATGGTCGAAGATGACTTTATGGGATTACTTAGATGCTCGTAGCGGGAGAACATCCTAAAAGTGTAATCTGACATGACAACTATTAGTGAAAATTTTGTTATATTTTAAGGCATCATCTATTGCATTAAAGTTACCTGAATTTTTGAATTTGTTTGAAAAATCCTAGAAAACAATGAAAAAAAGGCAGTGTCGTAGTGCTTGGACTATGGAGTGTCGTGTCATTCAAGGCTAAAATTTAACTTAAGCTAAAGAGCAAGGTGTTACAGTGTGCAACTCACCAGTGCCACAACACTATCCCAAAAACTGTAGCACTATATCACTAAAATTTCATAGAGATATCCAAGGCGTCGTAGTGCAAAATCACCATAGCATCGCAACAGAGCAATTAACATGGTTACTCTAGAGATAATATCCATTAATCCATTCATATCACCACGACGCTAAGCTTCACAAATGTCGTGGCGGTAGTTTAAATTATGAGTATCGTATAGCTACCATGATGAGAATCATGGAACCAGAGTAAGTTATGAGAATTTTTATATAAATAACATAATTACTATAAGAATGGCGAATTTCTCACTTGTACTTAGTATTGGTAAGGTCCAACAAGTAGTGTATAATTGTGAGAGTGAAGAGGAGAAGGATTAAGGAAAGGAATGCTTGTATTACTATTGTAATGTTATTGAAAAGTTTTTTATTTTTTTTCTAAAATTTTGCATTAAAAGTGCCTCACTTGATGATTTTCCGATGGAGAATTTTACTTAAGAGTTAAAGAGTTAAGGAAAAGTGTCTATCATATAACTGACTTTGGTGCCAAAACTTTTGATGCCATAGTATTGAAGACTTAAATCTGGTTCAAGATAGAGGGAACAACACCATAGCATGCAATGTTCCAGCACCACAGTGTCAAATCTTCATCAACAATATAGTGCTAACCTGGTTGTGCAATTCCAAATTAACAATTTGCTATAGTAAAATATTTAATTCATATACAATAAGAGAATAACATGTTGATTTAGTCAAAGAAACATAATGTAGAAGATCATTAATATGGTAGCTTTAGTTTAAAAAGGAAACGCCACAGTATTACCACTATCAGCATCGTGAAGATAGTGGTAGTTATGGCTCATAAATATAAATGTCTTGGCCAAAATTATTGAGGGAGATGGCATATTTTACTCAAGTAATGAGTTTTAGATAAATTCTATTAAAGGGGAGAGTGTATGGATAAGCCAAGGGACATTGAGCTAGTTGCACGGAGAGTCTGTAATATGTATTTGCTAACATTACTGGTTGTATCTATTATTTTTATTCTTTTATACTTATATTAAAATTAAAATGAAATTTTTTTTCTTATTTTATTTAAAATGTATGGCTGAAATTTTCCCTGAAATTGTGTTTAGTTGAGAATCATGCTTAAATAGGTTAGAGCTCAAATTTGTTAATCATGCAACACTATTTTTAATTCCTTCATACTTCATGTAGATTGTGTAAAGGCCTTGAATAAACTTAAAATTTAATGTGATCTACATTTTCAATGGATGAGTAGTGGAATCAGCTAGGGGAATTAATACATATGATTACTGTGTATAGTCATATGGTAGATAGGAATATTGATCATTAAAGAGAGAAAAAAATTGTGGTGAATTGTATATTTGCTAAAAACTCTAGTGAGCTTGATAGTGATGAGAAGTTTCTTATACTTTGATCGACATCAAATAGAAGAAAATATTAGTTTATATGTGCATGAACACTTAACTAACATTAGTTCAGAGTCCTCTTAATAAAGCATTTAAGTTAGATATACTTAGCTATTAACTTACATTCACACCACCTTTTAATTTATTATGTATGATTAATTAAGTAATTCATAAAAGTAGTACTAGAGTGATATTGAGAATATCTTAATCCACATGAGAATGATACCAACACACCTATGTATTATTTCACAGAATACGTACACTTATGTAGTTTTTAGGAAAAACCCTAAATTAACATAGAATGCTATGTTTATCAAATCCCACATCAAGTTTTTGGAAATATTTCCTGGGTTAGTGGTTTTATCTCATATTACTTGAATGATTTTTGATTTACTCTTATCTTCATTCTTATTCAACCTATTTTTTGTTTTTATATCTATT